GCTTTAGTTCTGGGAAGTAGGTGAATTATGCATTCACCTGGTAAACAGTTTTAATTGCTGCTTGGAATTTGAACATGTACATGCTTTACAATGGTTTTAAAAGTCAGCATATTTTCCCATTGTGTTGATGTTTTTATTCAGTTAGTAAAACCATCCCCCTGGTATTGGAGCTCAGACCTATTTTTCTCTCTAAGTCAGAGTACATTTTGGCACAGTGGTTTCCTAGAGGTCGGGGTGCATTCTGTTTTGCCTTTCCCAGCAGTTGGTGGGATGGCGTCTTGTTACAGTGAAAGACAATGCTACCTTTTTTGGCAGGTAGATGGGCAAAATTAAAATTGATGAGTTGGCATTTACATGATCACAGTGAGTGTGGTTTTTATATTTGAGAGTCATTGAACTGTTCTTCGGAAATAGCATGGAAAAAAGACATTCTGATTTTGGACAAGTATTTCTAGTTCTTTCATTGTCCCCTAAGATGGCAGCTTTACTTTTATAATGGGAATAATGATACTTGCCACCTCAAAATTGTTTTACTGGAAAATTGAGTTAAATGTACTTGGTGCCTGACACATACGCTTTGAGTGTATTTTCAGAATTGTCCTTTCTTTTTCTTATACCGGCTTTTTTGTACTTGCCATTGATAAGTAATTTGTAATGTTTTTTTCCTATCCAGTCCTACAATTTGAATGTTAGGTGAATGTTATGAGAGTTTAAATATTGATATCGTCACTGATAACTCATTCACTGCCGTCGAAGTTAATGCTAATATCAAAAATCATGGAAGTTAACAAAGTTCATTTAAATTTGTGAGGTACTCATATATATAATAATCTAAATTATGGATGAATATACAAGGGGGTTTGAAAAAGGTCCCCTTTTTCATGAAAAAGTTCTATTTTAATTCCAGTTTTTTACAAACTTTAAAAAACTCTTTTGTATTTGGTGGTAGCTTTTTCCCCCCACCTCTGATTACAATAACAATACAACTTCATTGAAAAATATTTTTAAAAATATAGAAAAATACAAAAATATCTCTACTTTCATTAGTAACATATGATAGTTGGTATCCACATTTCTAAAATTCTTTGTGTATATATGTTTGCAGTATATGCATACATGCACTTTATGGGTACTTACAAAAAATTTAAAAACAGAGAGCATTCATTATACTATGCATATTATGAAGGGGCTTCAAAACGTGGTTGGAAACTATTTTTCCATTCCCTTTTTCCATGGATATTTTGAAGCCTGTTTGTGTTTTATAATTTGTTTCTAATTTTTTTCATCCAAAATTTTTCTCAAAATGTGCTTTGTCTAAAATGGCTGTATGCTATTATAATGATTTGCTTTGTATTTAGATTCTTTCTAGATTCTTGACATTGTAATAATAGAATAATAGAATGATAGATATTCTTGTTCATACTTTTTGCCTGTAGTTACATATTGGATGTAGTTAATTAAAATGACTTCCTTCTTATTTCTAGTTTCTTCTTTTATCTCGATAGTTTCTCTATTGCTAGAGCAGTCTAAGAGCTGATTAGAATTCACTGATTGGCCTTCCATATTGGTGCAAAAGCAATCTTTTTAAAACTCAAATTTGATGATGTCATTCTCTTTGACAAGGTTTATTGGCATTATTAGTATTAGAATAAAATCCAATGTTATGTTTTGTACCATAATGACTACAATTCTTCCTGCCACTTCTTTATTTGTACTTTATACTCTGTTGATAATGATTATCATGAATTTTACCAAATAAGCCACAATTTCTCACCCCAATTCACGCTCTTTCTTAAGATTTTATTGCCTAGATTACTCTTTGAAGGTCTGCCTATCAAGCTTTCATCTTCAGGTGTCAGTTCAAGTGTTTTCCCCTCTGATACCGTCCTGAATCTTCACAGGCAGGTTAACTAATCTTGTGTTTCATTACCTCTATTATGTACTTGTCATCATGTTTAGTGCTTGTTTTTTCAGAGAATAACATTTAGAGGAAACGACTGTGTTGCTTTTAGGGTGACTCACCATCCTAGTTTTCCTAGATTCCCACAACATGGGATTTTCAGTAGAAGAACCAGGATGTTTTGAGCAGATTCTGACACATAACGACCTTTCAGAACAGAGTAAACCGGCCTGAGGATTTCTTAGACTGTGATCTTCGTGGCTGGGGGTTTTCCCCACCAGAGCTGCTGGTGTCTGCTGATCACTGAGCTTCCAGGTATCGGCCAAGCACGGAACCGGTGTGCAGTGGGGTTACTTACAATCAGGAAAGGACCGGGCAGACCAGGATAAATTGTACCCCTCCCCTTCTTGTCTTTGCTTTCTTGGAGCTTAGCCAGGACTTGAGTCTATAGCTATTAAGTAAATTTGTTGTGTTTCAATACCAAATAAGTAAACCATTAAAACGACTAAGATTGATTTCAAGTTTCAAATGGCCTAATGAGAACATGCATGTGTCTCTTTCCTTTCTCATTTTTTCTCTTTTCCTTCTTGATACATCATTAAAATAGTATCAAGGGGATAAAATATGAGTAGTTTATAAATAATTGCAATGAAGATGGGTGAAGGAAATTTTAATACTTGTGGAAGGTGGAAGCGGGAGCAGCCACCACGATGAAGCAGACCAGGGGCATTCACTGTCTCAAAAATGCACAGGGTGATAAAGTTCAATGAGCCAGTCTCCCCGCAGAATCCATGAAAGGTCTGCTGTGTGGGCACTAGTGTATGTATGAGTTTAGGAAGGTTCCTGAACCAAAATCAAACAGTGGGGGTGGGGGGTGCAGGGAACTCTGTTGGATAGAAATTCAGTGAATTGACTCTGGAGAACGTCTTTGACTTTCTGGAATATGCTCTTAAATTCTGGTGTTTACAGGTTTTCCTGCTTGCATGGCACATTTCCTGCTTTCTTGCTCAAAGCCAATTTCCATTCAACAGGTCCTGTCAATAGAGCCTTACCCAGAGTAAACAGGCCCTACACAGCTTTTGGTTGTCGCAGCAATGAACGTGGACAGATAGGCAAAGCTAACCAGATAGTTTAGGAAAATCTACGTGAAAAAGAGGAACCAAAATAAACAGGAAAAGTCATGCTGGAGGAAAAAGATAATTTTAGGAGCAAAAGAAACGTTGAAAAATTAATCATTATCGACCTAATGCCGGGGGCTTAAGTGGAGAGCAAATGTTTTGAGAATGACGAGGGCAATGAATGTACAAATGTGCTTTACACAATTGATGTATGTATGGATTG